GGAATGCCAGGAAAATCCGGTATGCATGCTGTGTACTGAAATGAAGCAAGTAGATGCGGACCATATTTCGGGGACGGGTAGATGTAATGCTTTCAGGGTGGCACTAGAGAAAGCTAAAAAACGTCGCGATGATAAGTGTACTACAAGGTAATACGAATAGGAGCAGAATGGCCAACGACCTCCTCGCCCAACTAAGAATCGAGAAGGGGGCGGATGTGGTACTAATAAGTGAACAATACAGGAACGGAGATTACCAGTACTGGTATTCGGATTCGACGGGCACCGCTGCGATATGGGTCACGGATCCAGTAGCGGTGCCAGTAGAGGACCATGGAGCAGGGAATAGTTATGTATGGATCAGAAGTCGCGGTCTAGTTTTATTCAGCTGTTACTTCACCCCAAACCAGCCAATGGAAAATTACGAGCGCAGCCTGGAGGCAATGGAGGATGCCATAAATGGAATGATGGGTGAAGAGATAGTTGTAGGAGATTTTAACGCTAGGGAGGTTGAGTGGGGCATGTCGGTTCCGAACAGAAGAGGCAAACTCATAATGGAGATGGCATCGAGGCAAGGACTGGTAGTTTTAAATAGAGGCAACACACCAAAATTTCGACGTCACGGCTACACAGGAACCATACCCGATATATCGCTGGCAACTGAAAATGTTGCTAACATAATAAACGAATGGAGAGTTATAGAGGACTTCACGGGTAGTGACCACCAATACATTACTTTCAGCATAGGGGCAGTACCAAGAAGCAGTCGCAAAAGAGAAGGGCATGGATGGAACGTTAACAAATTAAATAAGGTCAGATTAGCAGAGACGTTACAAGTCAGATTTAACAGAATGAAGGAAACTCAGATTGAAGATACAGGACGCGCAAAAGCGGAAAAGATCGCAAGAAGACACGATGGAGGCCATAAAAGCGGCGTGTGATGAGGGTATGCCAAAGAAATGAATTAATCGAGGAAGACGCCCGGTGTACTGGTGGACGCCAGTGATTTCGGATCTTAGAAAAGAGTGCATACGACTGCGGCGAGCTGCACAACGCAAAAGGAATGAACCAGAAGCAGCACAAGCATTCATGGAGTACCGAACTGCAAGGAAGACGCTTAGAATTTCCATTGGCAAAAGCAAGACAAAATGCTGGAGAGACCTTTGCAAGGATGTGGATGAGGATCCGTGGGGACTCGGATATAAGATTGTAATGAAGAGGATCGGGTCTCCAACGAACACGGAACATCTGGGGAGTGGCAAGTTGGAAGAGATTGTGGACGCTCTTTTCCCTTCGCATCCTATCCGGACGATGATCCAAACAACAGTAGCTGAAGGGGATGTTCCTAAATTCACCCTGGAGGAATTAAAAGAGGCGGCCAGTACAATCAAAAACGGGAAGGCCCCGGGACCAGATGGAATACAAGTAGAGGTCATCAAGGAAGTTGTAAATACGTGCCCGCAGATACTACTGGAGGCATATAATACCTGTCTGGAAGAAGGCGTATTCTGTAAGCGCTGGAAGCACACGCGCCTGGTATTGTTAGATAAGGGAAGGAGCAATCCGCTGTTGGCAGCGTCCTACAGGCCCTTGTGCATGCTTGACACGGCCGGAAAACTGCTAGAGAAATTATTGAAGAAGAGGCTGCAGGCGGCCATAGAAGCAGCGGGAGGACTGGCAGACATGCAGTATGGTTTCAGGAAAGGAAGGTCAACGATGGACGCAATAAAAGTGGTGGTGGATGCAGACAGGGCCGCCGAATCGGGTAATCCCCATTCAACAAAGCTGGTGCTACTGGTGACGTTAGACGTGTAGAATGCTTTTAACTCGGCGAGATGGGAGGACGTCTTACAACAGTTGCGAGGAAGATTTCGAGTCCCGGCGTATTTGCAGCGAATACTGGAGGATTACCTTAGTGACCGTAGTCTGCAATACTCAATCGATGGTGGTACAAAATGTAGACAGATAACATCAGGGTTCTATATTGGGGCCAGACTTGTGGAACTTTATGTATGACAGCCTACTGCAGTCGGAGATGCCAAGCAATACTCAACTGGTTGGCTATGCGGACGACATCGCAACGGTTATCATGACACGCACAACAGAGGAGGCAGAAATTAGGCTACAACAAACAATGAGGATAGTAAACACATGGATGAGACAACACGGCTTGGAGTTAGCTACGGCCAAAACAGAGATAGTCATGATAACGAAACGCAGGATGCGGACTATAGTACCGATGCAGGTCGGGTTGGATATCGTGAAGACAAAGTCGGCAGCTAAATATTTGGGAGTTATACTGGATACAAGACTTAACTTTTGGCAACAAATTCAAAGTGTTTCAGAGAAAGCGGCGAATACTATCAACCGGCTCAGCATGTTGATGGCAAATGTTGGCGGACCAGGTCCACATAAAAGGAGACTTATCATGACAGCTGCGCAATCTGTGTTGTTATATGGAGCGGAAATATGGGCCGATACCCTTCGCGTGGAAAAATATTGA